CTTAAGCTCCCAAGTGCTGGGATTACAAGTGTGCACTGCCACACCTAGCAAAATTTAAAAGTACTTTAGCCTCTCCCCTAGAAGCAGAATCTCCTGGGTGAGCTATGGAAAGAAGGATTTTAATAAGCTCACAGGGTTCCTTGGGCACCAACAAGTGTGAGATTCATGACTGTGTTTATTCTTCACTGCACGAGGGGCTCCATGCCTGGGGGGGCAGTCAGGAGCCTTTTTTTTTTTGGTACTGGGGATCAAACTCGGGAACTTGCGCTTTCCAGGCAGGTGGCAGAACCTCTGAGCTAAATCACTGGCCCCAGGAGCCTTTTGATATGGAAAAATAAAACGATGCTAGGGCTAGGGATTTAGCTCAGTGGTTCTGGCACCTGCCTTATAAGCGCAAGTTCCCAAGTTCGATCACCGGTACCAAAAAAATACCCTGATGCTATTGTTTACCCACAAACCCCTCTGTTAGTTCTGGGGCAAGTTCCAATTTCTTGTTTGCAAAACTCTTCAGATCTTGGCCTCAAGAGGAGCTTGCTTCTGTCCTGGGAGATCATTGGAGGAATTAAATGGTCCACACAATTTTGCCTCTGTTGGGAACTGCACCCTGTTACTTGCGCCTCTTGTCTGAGATAGCCCTTTGTGGCTTGCTACATGTCACTCTGAATGCTCTCTGAAAACCTTCTTTGTCTGCACCAGCAGCCCACTTCAGAAGTGGTGGTGTTATTCTGAGGCAGGGTTTGGGGTGCCATAAAGAATAAAGCTATGATTGTATTAAAAACCCAAAGAGGGTAAGCAGCTAACACAAACATGAAGAAGGCCTAAGCACGCACTGTACCAGGGCAGGGATGAGACTGCTTCCTAGGCCTGCTTTGTTTCTGAGGTCTGGGTACACGTGTGCAGGCTGACAGGCTTGCTGCTGAGCTTTCCAGGCTTCCTGTTTGTTTGGCAAACTTACTAAACTCAGGGGTCATGGCGTCCCTGTCTTCCTGAGGGATATCAGGCTTAGTGTCTCTATCATTCCCTGTGGATGGGGAAGGTCCCATGTAATGTTTTTGGGTTTTGGTGGCATTTGGGGGGGGGGGTCCCCTCATCTCACACATACATCCAGGTCTTCCTCAGAGCTCAGCCCTAGAAATCTGAGCTCTCTCCATAAATTTGAAAGAACACTACAGTCTTCTGCTCCGATAGAGAAACTTCCCATTCTCTCCTCACCACATTGCTTTAAAAACTTTGAGTAGAAATGTAGTCACGTGGGCCCAGGGATTTAGCTCAGTGGTTTCGCCACCTGCTGCACAAGCACAAGGACCCAAGTTCGATCCCCCATACCAAAAAAAAAAAAAAAAAAAGAAAGAAATGTAGTCACTTGTACTGAGGCACTTTCGTTATTTCAGTGACAACTTCCCACCACAAGGAATACTGAAATGCAACAGGAAATAGTGTATGTGAATAAGCAGGCCTTGGCTAAATTTAAGTGGTGGAAACTATCTACCAAAATATTTTCCCTAAAAGTTCACTTTCTTTAGTTTTGATGACTACCCACTGGATCACTGTGGTCAGATGCCACTGACTAACCAGGAAATCAGAAAATAAATAAAGAGACTGTTTTGTTTTTTTTTTTTCCTTTCATCTTTGTGGATGGAAACATAAAAAAACCAACACTCTTGACCCAAACTGAGCAAATAGTTTGGGGTACAGTGTATTTAGTTATTAAAAGTCTATGACTGGGGGGCCGTGGATTTAGCTCAGTGGAAACCACCTGCCTTGAATGCGCAAAGTCCTGAGTTCGATCTCTGACACTGGAAAAAAAAGTCTATGACTGGGCCGAGCATGGTGGCACCTGTAATCCTCGAACCTGGGAGGCTGAGGTAGGAGAATCACTGTAAGTTCAAGGCCAGCCTGGGCTACATAGTGAGACCTTGTCTCAAAGAAAACAAAACAAAACAAAAACCAAACAACAACAACAAAAACTCTCTAAGGATAGTAGAGAAAAGGTGTGAGGGAGCATGCCTGTAATCCTAGCACTCAGAAGGCTGAGGCAGGAGGATTGCAAGTTCAAGGGCAACCTAGGCTACATAATGAGTTCAGGGCCTTGGACTGTATAGCCAGACCCTGTAAAAAAAAACAAAACCCCAAAAAACCCAAAAACAAACAAAAGCCCCAAAACAGTAGAGAAAACTTGAAGGGAAAGGAAGGGAATATTAACATTTAGGGAGCATCTACTTTTTTTTTCTAGTACTGAGTATTTATTTTTGTTTTGAGACAGGGTCTCCGCTATGGAGTTCAAGCTGACCTTGACCTATTAGCCCAGGCTGACCTGGAACTTGTGGCAATCCTCCTGCCTCAGCCTCCCAAGTGCTGGGATTCCAGGTGTGTGTTACCAGGCCCACCTTCCTAGTAGTGAGGATTTAGTACCAAGGTCTTCATATTAAACTACAATCCCAACTCTTCTTATTTATTTATTTATTTATTTATAATTTTGATACAGTTTTGCTAAGTTGGTCAGCCTGGGCTTGAACTTTCAATCCTCCTGCCTCAGCCTCCCAGAGGGTTGAGATTATAGGCATGTGCCACTATACCTGGCTCAGGCCAGCATTTCAGTGAGGATAATGGCAGAAAGAAAGCTATTAACTCTCACAAATCATTTCATTTTAAGAATTACTACCTGCTCTCCATCTTTACCCTTTTTGGGTTAAGAAACAGGTTGGGTGAGGTTAGTTAACTTGGTCATTGTTATCCACTTCTAGTGACTAAACAGAATTTCAACTGTGGACCTCTTTTCATTTTTCTATAGTGTTCTAAGAAGAAAGCTCTGTGGAGTCTTAATGAAATAAAATCTCTGTTATGTTAAAGAGTCCTGGTTGTCACAATAAGTAACACCATTCATTAAGAAAAATTCGTATTATACATGTATAGGACACTCATTTCCAGTTATGTTTCAGGCTGGCCTTGAACTTACTATGTAACCCAGGATATCCTTGAATTCACTGTGATCCTCCTGCCTCAGCCTCCTGAATGTTGAAATTACAGGCATGTGCCATTAATTTTAATGCTAACTCAGAAGAACAGATAATAGAGTCTGCAGTAATTGTAAGCAGTTCTTGAGTATAAAAATATTAACAAGCCTGGTGTAATGGCGTATGGTTGTAATCTCAGAGCTCTGGGAGGCTGAGGCCAAAGGATTGCAAACTTGAGCCAAGCTTGGGCAACTTTAAAAAAAAATTTTTTTATAGTTCTGTTGGCAATGAGTTGAAATTTTTTTTTTAAATGCTAGTATACTTTTCTTTTTTTTTTTTGTATCGGGGATCGATCTCGGGTCCTTGTGCTTGTGAAGCAGGCGGTGGAACCACTGAGCTAAATTCCCAGTCCATTGGGCAACTTATTGAGACCTGTCTCAAAAAAAAAAGGACTGGATGTAGCTCAGTGAGAGCTGGGTTTTTATTTATTTATTTTTGAGAGCTGGGTTTAATCAACAGTATAGCAAGCAGCAACAACAAAACCCAACTGTTGCCAGTGCCTTCTGAACTCTATAGTTTCCTCAACTACAGAAGACTCCCGTGGGGAAGATAAAAAAAGAAGAGCTAGAGGTATAAAGGTCCACCCTGTGAATTACACCAAGGGAAATTACAGATCATCTTAGAAGCTCTGTGAGTCTCTGATATATTCTGGGCCGGTTTCAACTGTGCACTCTCCTTTACTTGTTTGTAGAACAACAGTTTGGTAGGACTTCCGTGAATTCCAACTTCAAGATCGGTCACCACTTATTAGCAGATAAAACTGGGCAAACCTATGGAATTTGGAGGTGGGGAGAGAAAAACGTGTTCCCTTATAGTGAGCCATCCTACCCATTACTTTGAGAGACATGTGACTCTAATGACTTGGCCTTAGAAACAGAAGCTCAAGACAGGTAAGGTGGAAGGTAAGGTGGAAGAAGGAGGTGTTCTTCTCAAGAGCTGGAAGCAACGCCTCGACCATCTCCACCATGTTGGCAATTTCAATAGTTGAAAATCTAGCTCAGCCAAAGGCCTGGAAAGGAACCACAAATGCATGAAAAATAACTTGAATCTCACAGTTCTTTTTTTTTTTTTTTTTTGGTGCCGGGGATCGAACTCTGGTCCTTGAGCTTGCGCAGCAGGCAGCGAAACCACTGAGCTAAATCCCAGTCCCAAAATCTCATAGTTCTTGCAAAAGGCTGTTTGGCTAAAGTGTGACTTTAAGAGCCATAAATCACTTGCAGCGCACACTCTTTCCCTCCTAATTCGCAGATGCTCACTTTTCGGAGGCTTCACCTTATCCAAACCTGGCTTAGCTGCAGAAGGTAGGACAGCACGGGGATCTCAACGTGCATCTGAAGAAACCTCACACTGCCTCCTTGAATTCCCTCCTTGGTTCCCCAGCCGACATTCTCCAGGTTCTCTGAGCCTCATAAGCCTTTATGCTACGTCTATGATCTGCGTCGTAATTTAGGGTTATTTCTGCGTGTTCTTTAGGGGCCAGAACACCTTGGTTTACGTGCGTGTCCCCAAAGCCCCCAGGTCCTAGAGTAGCTGGCGGTGGGAGCATCAGTAATGCAGGTGGAATGGAACAGGAACCTCTAATATCTTCTTCAACCTCGGATTTCCGTTAAACTTTGCTCTGAAGTCTGCGCATAGCCCTCACAGAGTAGGCCTCCCCGCGGCGAGTTCCGACTCTCGCCTGACTGGGCAGAACTCTGAGGGCCTATTTCCTGCCTTGCCGAGGCCGGGGCGGAGCTCCAGCCTCCTGCCCCGCCCCCGTCTCCACCCTCTCTCTCTCCCGCCCTCGCTCCTCTCCCCCTCCCGGGCGGCCCCAGCACCGCGGGGGCGGGGCCGTGAGGGGTGGGCGGTGTGGTGGAGCGGGCCGGGAGCCGCGGCCAAGGTGCCGAAGGACCAGAGGCGGGCTCGGGCGCGGACCCGGGACACGCGGCGCGGGAAAACCGAGCCCAGCGGGCAGGACGACGAGCCGGCGGTTGGTGGCGGCGGAGGTTCCCACCCGGCCGGCGCAGGGCCTCGGGCCGAGCCGCTGCCGTGCGGGGCCTCGGCGCGGGGAGCGGGCAGCAGGAGGAAGCGGCGGCGCGCGCCATGGCGGGCGGACCCCCCAAGGCCCTGCTGTCCTCGGGGCCCCACTCCCTGCGCGACATGCCGCACCCGCTGGCCGTCTCCAGCAGCGAGGAGGCCGTGGGCGGCGACAGCACGCCCAGCCCAGACCTGCTCGTGGCCCGCAGCTTCGGTGACAAGGTAGGGCGTTCGGGGCTGGGGACCAGCAGGCTCTTTCGTCCCCAGGGTGGGAGGGTGCTCGATCCGGAGCTGTGGGAGGCCCGGGGCCGCGCCCACCCTGGCGCCCTTTCCGGGGTGCGGACGCGCCCTCGCCCCCGGAGCGCTCGGCCAAAGCCTCTCCTCTCGGCAGACCCCGCGGGGTCGCACCGCAGGGGAGCGGCCCGGGGACCGCTGTCTCTGGCTGTGACTGGTCTCGAGCGCGGTGGTGACAGCTGGTGGGGAGGGTCCTGTTTGCGGGCTGCGGCCGGAGGCGAGTGTGCTGCGCTCGGCGTCTGTGACCTAGGCTGGGGGTCCTGGGTTCCTCCAGGTGCACCCCTGCATGCTGAGCCCCGAGTAACTTGTAGCGCCTCGCGTTCCCAGGGACTGCAACGAAGCCAGAGTTAATGGCTTTCTGGGGTAGGACCGTGCAGCCTTAGTCTTGCGGGCGAGAACCGTCTTCTCAGTCAGTCATGTGGGGACGGATCTTTGTTTAGGTTTGCTCTTTGCCCTGACTAGTCACCTGACTCAGACCCCAGCCAGCGGCGGGAGGAGAGTCTCACTGTGGTTTTCTGTCTGGCGCTTCATTCACCTCCAATGGCCTACCACACTGTTTAGGTGTGGCAGAGGCTGGTTTTGTGGTTGATGGAAAGAAAGCTCGACCTTCTTTGTACAGCAGGAGGCCCGTGATTTTCTTAGAATGACACTACCTTCCTCCTGCTTTTCGAGGCAGAAGAGTCCAGAGAGGGGAAGAGGCGACATCTCCCCTGCCCCCATCACCATTTCTGCTGTGACCAGGACTTGAGCAGTGATTGTGTCAGTGCTTCTGAGGCCACTTAGTCATTAATTGTAGGCATTTGAATTGTTCTCAGCACTTATCAGAATTTCCTCCTTTCAGTCAAACACTAAATGAATTCCACCTTGTCCCAACGTTACTGAAATGAGACCTTTCTTCTCCCTTTAGATGGGAGGGCATGTGGTACAATAAAAATGAGTATGAGAAAAGGGAACTTGCTGACCTTACAGTCAGAAGGGCCCAGAGTATTCAAAATAGCGGGAGATTAGGGCTTGATATATGTTCTGGAGAGGGTTTGTAAAGTATTAGGAAGAAGAAAACTTAAGCTAAAAAAACCAGTGGATTGAGCAGCTGAAGATGTGTGTGCACATGTCTCCTTGTAGTTACTTCTCTTTATTTTACAGAATATTACAGACTGTATGATGTCTTATGTAACTTGTAAATATCTTGCCCAGATTTGACGCTCAAAAATTAACTGTTGAGGGGCTGGGGATTTAGCTCAGTGGTTTCACCACCTGCTGTGCAAGTGCAAGGACCCAAGTTCGATCCCTGGTACCAAAAAAAAAAAAATTAACTGTTGATGACTAAACAGGTAATTTGATGCTTTCTTATGGACAGAGAAATTGGTCTTAAATGAACCTGTGTACTTTGTGATTTTCTTGCTGTGTAACAAACACCTCCAAATTTAGCACCTTCAAATAGGGCCTGTGGGTCAGGCATCTGGGAGCAGCTTCCCTGGGTGGTTCTGAGTCGGGTCTTTCAGGAGGCTGCAGTTGTTGGGGGGCTGTGTTGGGGGGGGTGTCAGCTTCCAAGTTCACTCGTGGCTATTGGTAGGTCTTAGTAACTCTCCATTGGGCCAAATGACTTGACAACTGGTTTCCCCTGAAGCAGGTGATCCAAGAGTGCCCAGAGACTCCAGCCAGTCTTGTATAACCTAAGCTTCTGCTGTGTTCTGTTGGTCACACAGAGCAATGTTGGTACAAATGTAAGAAGAGGGTATGAATATCAGGAAGTGGAGGTCGTTGGGGTCATCTTGGAGGCTGGCTATTACAGATAGCAGCTGGTTTTTTTTTTTTTTTTTTGGTACTGGGGACTGAATTTAGGACCTTGCCCTTGCAAGGCAGATGTGGTGCTGCTGAAAATCCCCAGCCCTACAGATAGCTTTGTAATTTAATTTTTTGTTCTTTTAAGACAGGGTTTTGTTATGTAGTCCAAGCTGGCCTTGAACTTGTAATATAGCCTGGGCTGGCCTCAATCTTGCAGTCTTTCTGCCTCAGTCTCCCAAGTGCTGGGGATCCACCTCACCAGGATCAGATAGCTATTTTAAGATAATTGTTTAGGGATCCATTCTTGGGTGATTCCTGACTCAGAAATGTGACCGTTTTACTAATAAATGACCTGTACCACCATGATCTGGTTAGTTGGGAGAAAGTGAGCTCCAAGTTGGGTTACTGATGGCTTTCTTCACAGGATCAGGTTTCTTGAGAGAGACAATGCTGAAGGCTTTATTATTAATCATTAAATATTTAATAAGTCTGATAACTTTGGGGAGCATCTAAATGACATCAGTCTCCAGGGCCTGATTTGTAGTAAGCCACTTTTCCTTAGAGGCTATAAGAACTGTAATTTTTTTTCTCTGACTAGGAGTAACATTGTCCTTGAGTCTTGGTGTACACATGTATTCTCATAAATTTCTGTAGTGAGAGGCAAGGCAAGTGGCAGAGGTGAGTCAGAACAGTGGAAGGAAGCCTTCTCTCTGCCCTGCTTTCTATTGCCTAGGAAGCATGGGGTTTGTTGGACGTAGGAGGGAGAGTTGAGTATTATGGTCTGTCTTTGAAAAACAGCCTGTTTTCTCACCCTTTTGGACATTGGGATTGTAATCCTGGATGATAAGAATTCATTTCTAGGTAAGAGCAGTGAAGGTTTGACAGGCTGCCCTTATTGCAGGGTTATCATGCAGAAGGGGATTGCTTTCTGTGGGTCAGGGTGGCGGCAGGAGATAGGGTAGTTTTGTGTCTTGGTCAGGCTGACCCTTCTGAACAGCCTCTCCAAGTGCTTGAGTGGGAGAGAAAGATTGCGTGTGGTGAACACTTCATCAGCTTCTAAATCATTTAAACCGTGGTGTGATGGGAGGAATCCTAACCAGTTCTTCTGATGCCAGCAAAACCCACCTGGCCCTAGATCACTACATCTTGTCTCTCCATTTAAAATGTAAATAAGTCACTTGACCTAATTATCTTTTTTTACTTTCACCTGCAAATTGCCCTGAGCTGTTTCTCCTCTCATTCTGCCGTCCTAACCTCTTCTTCACTAACTCTTCCACTTACTTCCTGTCCCTGTGGTCGCGACTTTCCTGAAGTCTGGAATGGAATTGTCTTTTCCTCCTCTATATAAATTTGTGTCAGTTTCAGGAGTAGGAATCAGTATTGTCCTTCCATTCTAAACTGCCTTTTTTTTTTGTGGTACAGAGGATTGAAGCCAGTACCTTTGCTCTGAGCTACATCCCCAGTCCTTTTTTATCTTTTGTTTTTGAGACATAGTCTTGCTAAGTTGCATTGACCATTGAAATCCTCCTGCCTCACCTTCCCAGAGTGCTGGGATTTCAGGAATGTACCACTATGCCCAAGTTCTCAGTTCGCTTTTATACACTAAGTTCTGCCCCTTGGAGACTCATGTCATTCATTTTGCTCAGCAAATATTTGAGGGCCTCCTATGACCCAGGCACTGTTCAAGGAGCCTGAGATGAATGAACAAGCCAAAGACCCCTGTCTTCATGGGGTGTATTTTAGTGAGTATATACTGTATTATGCAGAAATGCCGTGGAAGGAAGAAAAAGAAGAGCAGGGAGAGGGTTCAGGATTACTGGCGAGAGGGAGGGAGATTCACATAGGCCTCAGTGAAAGCTTGAGACTTGAGCAGACTTGAAAGAAATCAGGGAGTTAGCAGAGGGGTGTCTGAAGAAAGTGTCAGGTGGGGCGAAGAGCTGAAGCAGAGGCCTGAAGGTACAGGCCTCATGTGTCTGGGGCACAGTCAGGGGGCCACTGTGGCTGGGGCAGTTTGAGCAATGCAGAGTCCCAAGCTAAGGGAAGCGAGGGGCCCGATTGTGTGGGCCTTGGTGGGGGGGCCATGGGGACTTCAGCCTTTACTTTGAATGGCATGGGGTTGAGACACACAGGGCCTTGAGCAGGAGGAGGGCCTGGTTGGACTTAGCTGCAGGAAAGGAGCCTATAGGCTGTGGAACTGAGAATAGCTTATTTGACTACTGCCACATCAGTTAGGATTCTTTTAAAAGGACATAAGCCAAAAGCAAGCTGACTAAGAAAAAAAAAGTTACTAACTCCAGCCGTTGAAAAGGCCCAGGTATTCTGGCCTTAGGGATGGCAGTACGAGGTCTCCAAGTGAAGTTAGGATCTGTCACTTGGCTTCTCATGCCTCTGCTTTCTTCAGTGCTGGCCTTAGTCTTATGTGAGTGAAGGGATGTGTTCTATAGTCAGGCTTCACAGCTCCAGCAGAAAGAGAGTGCCTCTTTCCTGATAGTCACAGCGAAAGCTCTGGGCCGGTGTCTTTTTGGCCTAAATTGGGTCAGGCGCCCAAACTTGTCTTTCTGATTCTTATAACAGATCAGGTGCTTTCCCTTTGGAATGATGAGAGGGAATTAAAAAAAAAAAGTGAAATATATATACACAAGGCTATAAAAATGTGCTTGTATAGTTTAGAGAATAAAATGTATCTGCATAGTTTAGAGAATAATAAAGTGAACATTCCTATTCCACCCCCTATTGCAAGACATACATTATTACTGGTATTTTGGAATCCCCCCTGGTTCTCACAGTAACATCAGGGTGCTGTCACTAGAAGGGGGAGTGAATGTTGGACAGGCAGGAAGCAACAGATGTTCATACAGACTCTTCCATACCTTTTTCTTCCCTGTCATTTTCTAATTTCCTTGCTTTTCACTCTTACTAAAATCTTGAACTCCAATTTAATGTTTCAAATCATGTCCTATGCTGTGTATGGTGGTAATCCCAGCATTCGGGGGGCAGAGGCAGAAGTTCAAGTTTGCCTTAAGTTTGATGCCAGCCTGGGCTACATAGTGAGTTCAAGGCCAGCCTGGAATACGTGGCAATGTCTCTCCCCTGAAGCCTTCCCAATTATGTCCTCATGTTGGGGAACCTAACCATCTATATGG